AAGCATAAAAATTAAAATTAACATCCAAGGGATTTTTTTGTATTTTCATCACATGTTTTTAGTTATTATTAATTTGAATGAGATATAGTTCATTTTTAAAACAAATATAAATATAATTAAAAAAATAAAAGTTGTTGGTGTATGCATAACATGTGCCAATGAATGAGAGCCTCCTTTTTTTTTTTTTATGGAACATATGGTGCCTCTTGAAGATCAAGGGCCTGCTACTGCAACACATTGGAAACATCACGTCATTCTCCTCTTTCTAATGAGCATGTGTGTGTGTGATTGGCAGAGCAACGATTGAGCTCCAATTTTTTTTATTGATATTTTTTTTGCTTTTAATTCTTTTGAAGTTGATTTTTTTTCAATTCTGTCCTTTAATATTTTATTTCAACACATTGGAAACATCACGTCATTCTCTTCTTTCTAATGAACATATGTGTGTGTGATTGGCAGAGCAATGGTTGAGCTCTAATTTTTTTTATTGATATTTCTTTTGCTTTTAATTCTTTTGAAGTTGATTTTTTTTTCAATTATGTCCTTTAATATTTTATTTCATTTAATTTTTGTATTCAATTTGATTCTTATTCTTTTGATTTTTTTATCCTTTTCTTGATTTATTTTAACTTCATCCCACATCATTTTATTTATTTTATTTGTATATTCAATTTGATCTTCATTCTTTTAATTGCTATTTTTTTATCCTTTTCTTGACTTGTTTTATTTTTCAATTTACTCCTTTATTATTTTCTTTCATTTAGTTTTTATACCAAATTTTTTATCCTTTTCTTGATTTATTTTAACTACATCCCACATCATTTTATTTATTATATTTGTATATCCAATTTGATCTTCATTCTTTTAATTGCTATTTTTTTATCCTTTTCTTGACTTGTTTTATTTTTCAATTTACTCCTTTATTATTTTCTTTCATTTAGTTTTTATACCAAATTTAGTCCTTATTATTTTGATTGTTTTTATTATTATTATTATTATTTTGGGTGACTAGAATATTTGCTTCATAATTTTTTCATGTTTGTCTTATATGAGATAATAACAATCTTATGATTTAGGTTATAAGTTTCAAAGATTAACTCGATTTATCTTCGGTTTTATTTAGGTTCTTTTTTCTTTCATTTCAATATCATCCTCCTATATTAGGTTATTGGGCCTTGAAATTCATGATTTTTTTCATTTTCTTTTCTAAAAGGTTATATCGATCTCATATCCCAGGCCATGAGTTAATCGAGTTAACTTAAATTGACTTTAGTTTTTTTATATTTTTTAAATTTCTTTGTTCATCATTTAGTTTGTTTGAGAGTTAACTTATATTGTTTTATTCAATTTCTTCAATGTTGGGTTATCTCGATCTTAAAATGGGACTATGATTTTGGCATGCTAATTCAAGTTTTTTTTTTTTAGTTTGTCTTTTAATATTTGTTTTATTGGTAATTGAGTATTAGATCTTTTTTATTTTTCTTTTTATAAAGTTATTTTATTTTCATTTGAATTTTTATTTTGTTATTAAATAAGATAATTAAAATATTTTAAAAATATCCAAAAGTATTTTTCATAATATTTACAATAGTTTTATCAATTTATCATGCAAAGAAAAAACTTGATCGTATCTACGAATGAGTGCTGAACACCTATCTCGTCCGTACTTATTGTTCAAAAGTCAGAACTTTTCACCATGTCGGGATTCTTACTACACACGTGCTTTTAATTCGGCTTCTGCTTTCGAGTAGAGTGACATTGCTTAAAGTAATCACAAAAGTTAAACAACATTATAAAGTAATTTGTCTAAAAGAGAGGATTACTAATCATAAGAGATTAAGACTCTTCTCCGGAAGCATCGACATCATTTTAAATTTGATTATGGTATCAACATTAAGGACGAATACAGTCGAGGAGTGTCTCTTACCAACTCCGTTGCTCCCAGTGGGCTGGGCAATCGGGTTCGAGGGCTTTGAACATGACCAAAAATAGTGTTTAATTAGATCATTTACCTACTATGCTATAAGTAAGATTTCTTTTTTTAAAAAAATATTCATGCATTGTTAATGAATATATTTTTAAAACAATTTAAATCATGTAGAAATAATCTAATATAATCCAGTTAAGTGAACTTGACAAGTTTAAAAATAATCTAGATAACCGAGAAAACAAGCATAGTTTGACTAAATTTTTTAAAAAAATATATGTTTTTTTTAAAAAATATTAAAATAATAATATATTAAATAGATCCAAATATACTCATATTAGCATGTATAATCCATGATCTTGGTTATGAAACTGTAATATTCTCATAGAAAAAAATAAAAATAAAAATATATTGAAATCCAATTTTAATGAAACTGTAATATTCTCATAGAAAAAAAATAAAAATAAAAATATATTGAAGCCCAATTTTAAATTAATCTAATATTAAATAATAAAATTAAAAAAATTAATTAAAAAATATAAAAACAATATGATTTAACATGTTAAATCTAGATTATGAGATCGATATAACCCAATAAAAAGAAAATTAAAACAAATGATGAAGATTCATTCCTAATAAATCCAACATTAAAGAATTAAATAAAAAAAATTGATTCAACCAGATTTAACCTGTTACTCGAAACCTCATAAAAAAATAAAAAAATTATAAAATTTGTTTTCCAATAAAACTAAATGATGAAGGAAGCAATAAAAAAAATATTTATGATAAAGAACTAAAAAAAAATAGAATCAATTGAATTAACTTATAAAATTTATGAATTGAATTATTAAATTAAAATAATTTTATAAAATATAATGTTAAATAAATTATAAAATTTAATTTTTAATAAATATAATATTAAATAATAAAATTAAAAAAATTAATTAAAAAATATAAAAACAATATGATTTAACATGTTAAATCTAGATTATGAGATCGATATAACCCAATAAAAAGAAAATTAAAACAAATGATGAAGATTCATTCCTAATAAATCCAACATTAAAGAATTAAATAATAATTTTTTTTTGACTCAACCAGATTTAACCTGCTACTCGAAACCTCATAAAAAAATAAAAAAATTATAAAATTTGTTTTCCAATAAAACTAAATGATGAAGGAAGCAATAAAAAAAATATTTATGATAAAGAACTAAAAAAAAATAGAATCAATTGAATTAACTTATAAAATTTATGAATTAAATTATTAAATTAAAATAATTTTATAAAATATAATGTTAAATAAATTATAAAATTTAATTTTTAATAAATATAATATTAAATAATAAAATTAAAAAAATAGAATTCGGTGAGGAGGGGAATAGTGGCTTTCCCACCTCAATAATTCCCTGTTAATTCCGATTTGTGTTTTTTTTAAAAAAAACTCGGCTACAAAACACCAGGCAAGTTTGCAAAGGCCGATAGGACCGAAATGGCACATCAATCATTCTCTACCTTTCAACATGAAGAAGAAGATAGGGAGCAGATATATAAAATAAAGTAAAGGAGTCCACACCGTCATCTTTGAATGGCTTCCATATATTATCGCCTTGTGTGGTTACATCTTCTGGTGGATGTGGATCCCATGCTCTCTCTCTCTCTCTCCCCCTCCCTCCATCCAAGTGTATTGAATCACTACTTGCATGGGGGAAATTATTTGATTTCGAAAGCATAACATGTTTGGAACCAGAAATCCAGTATCTTTTTGTAACTCCAAGAAAGAACAGACGAAAAGGTTGTAAGAAGGTAGGATGATGCTGAGTGAGAATCTCCAAGGAAAAGGATTACAGTGGTGATGATGCCGGCTCTCCAAGTGCACGTCCGGCTCGGAGAAAGTGAAGACAACATCTGCGTATATGCAGTGACATCCTTTTTGGTTAAAAGAAAAGGAAGATTAAAAAACCAGTACCTATCCATTAATTTCAAAGAAAAATGATGCTTCGATCACTCTGGCTAGTTGGAATTATGGCCATAGTTTGGTGTTCCAGTATATATTCCTCTATTGTCTTTATGACTTCCATGAATGCTTAGCAGTAGTAAGATCTCTTAGTTAATATTATTCTTAATGAATTTTAAAATATTTTTTAATTGAGAAAAACTTAATCATCACATAAATTGGAATTTCTGAATGGAACGAAGACCCTCTGGGATGTAACAAACGATAAAAAAATAATTAAAAAAATTAGTAAACGTTAAAGGAAAAAAAAACAAGAAGTTTTTCAAAATATTAATTCTATTTTTTTCTCATAAAATATTTTATAAATAAAGGCAATTTGTAATGAATATAAATCTAAAATTTGATTGTGTTGCAGTTTATGATTATATATGCTGGAGTGCAACGACGATATTTTCCTTTATAGGATTTATTTCATGTTTTGTTGTTAACAATGATTAATAGATTAAAAGGTGCGGGGGCAACGATCTCATCGTATAATAAAGTGGTATTAGAAGAAAACATTATTAATACTTTTTAGATAATTATGAGATCATTGCATGGTTAAATTTTCTTGGGTGGTTTAAAATTTATTATAAACATAAATTATATAATTTTATTTTAATATAATAAAAAATAAAAATTCATCACTCATGTGAATATAACATAGGCATATTACCGAACAACATAGTTTTTTTAATTTCTCGCATCAAATTGCATATATTACATCCATTTTCAATCTTTCTTTCC